ATTAGGTCGGCTAGCCAATCCCTGTTGTAGACGCCTGCTCAGGCACATTTTTGTTTGTTCAACACCCACAGAGCCCACCTGTGGTTTTCTACTGAAACAATGCTGAGCAGACCTTAGTTATAGTTTCTGGTGGGGGGGGAGCGTGTTATCTAGCGTGATCAACAATCTGAAGAAGGCCAGCACACTCAAACCCTCGGTCACGATGACTTGTGACTTCATGCTATCACGATTCTTTGGCGGTTCCCAAAAATTTCCTCCTATCCAATTTCATTCACAAGGCTTGGGTCAACTCGTAGTATGGTTTTCAGGCACTTTCCAAGTAGCCGAGTGGTTAGAACTTTCACTTTCTGACCATGGGACCAGAGTTCGAAACTCACCATGGATGATTTGTCAGGAAGCTGACTTCTTGATGTGATCTATGTTTATATTTGAATAAAGACAAAGGAAAAATTATCTTAGTCAATGCATTTCGTCCTCTGAGGGATTTTATCAAGGGTACAGTTGCCTTGATAAAGTTCGTCAGTGGACAAAAGACGTTAGCTAAGATAAATTCTTCTTTTGCCTGTATTTATATTACCCTTGTACAGATATATTCGATTTGAAAAAATTTGCACACACTTACACACACACACACATCGGATGTCTAGCTACACTGAGGAGCTGTGATATAAGCTCCTGAAAATAAATTAATTCGGTCACCGTGCGTATTTGTAAACAGTAACTATTACTGATAATAATGCAAGACTCTCCCAATGGATTGAGTTCTCTAGGTCACTGGCATGTTTATGAAAAAATAAATATGCAAGAATTCGTCTTTCTCTCTGCCAAGTGCCAATAGCTTTGACTGATATCAAATCAGTCAGGTTTCAGTCTTGGCTTCAAGCAATCGGATGTTTAGCCACTGTTTATATATATATATATAATTAATTCATCGAGTCTGATAGAAACCTCAACAGAATGCAGAAAGCACTGGACGGCCGTTTCGTCCTATATTTGGGACTCATCAGAAGTGCGCATCCACTACCGAGAATTGAAACCCTGACAGGTTGTCAAGCAAACATCATACCAACTGTTCCACTGGGCCTCGGTGATGAAGAGATTGCAAATCAGACTCAACAAAGCGCTGTTCACTCACATATTCCGTGGTGGAACTCTACTGAGTTCTCTGTAACCATAGGACTGTGCCCCCTGGAGCCACGACTACTCTCACGAAGACGCTCACTCTAGAGCATCAGAAGCCGGTTCAAGCAATGATATACAAATATTATTAGGGGGATTTGATAATTATAATTAAGTAATTCATCAAGTCTGAAAGAAACCTCAACAGAATGCAGAAAGCACTGGACGGCCGTTTCATCCTATATTTGGGACTCATCAGCAGTGCGCATCCACTACTGAGAATTGAAACCCGGACAGTTAGGTTGTCAAGCATATATATATATAATAGCAATGCTGAACATACAGATAAATAGATTCATAAATAATTATATTGGTCATGCAACAACATGCCTAACAAGAAGACTCACGTTACATCTCTCTGAGCATTGCTCAATTAGGTCTCATTTAAATAGGCATTTAAATAGACATGGAGACCAATCAAACTCCATTTGCAACATACTCATTGATAATACAAATATGATAGCTTCATTCACATTTAAAAAAGGCTAAAAAATAATGGAATAAAAAAGAAAATGCCAACACTCAATCATGTCAATTATGAACACGGTTAAAAAATGCTGACCGTGTTTGGAAAACAAAACATTTCTATAACTTTAGAAAGACATATAAAACAATCCATACATTCAGTTGAAATTAAAACTAAAATAATCCTTGAAAATGGCTAAAAATGTAGAATATTAGGAGAATTTCAACATAATTTATGTCCAGAAAAGAAGAAAATTATAAGAACACAAAGAAAATTAATATATATGAGCAAATTACAATCAATGAAACTTAAACAAAATTATAGTGATCTCTCTTTTGTGGATCAGTTTTAATATTTTATATTAATACGATCTACTTGGATTACTTACCCACATATTTTTACCTATATATATATATATATATATATATATATACACACACAAACACTAATAATATATTTACATTTTATCCCTCACTGTTTGGTACAACTTTCAGTTTCATGCACGTGGCAATCATCAGGCATGACCAAAACTGTAAAATGACCATTAATAATCACCATGTGCATGAAACTCAAACTTGTACCAAATGTTGAGGAACAAATATATATTTATAAGTAGTATAAATTTCAGCTCTGTCATTTTACATTGAGCACTCTTTTATTACCACCAGAACTGACTGTGCTATATATATATATATATATATATATATATATATATATATACTAGTTTAAAAGCCACCCTATCTGGATGCAAATAAGCTAGTATATATATATATATATATATATATATATATATATATATATAGTCAGTCAGTCAGTTCTAGTGGTAATAAAAGAGTGCTCATGTAAAATAACAAAGCTAATTTATACTACTAATAAATATATTTATCTGTTTCTGTTCAATTTACAGTCTCTCTCTCTCTCTCTCTCTCTCTCTCTCTATCAATCAATTGAACTCGCTCAGTCTGTTAATATCTGTCTGTTAGTCATTGTTCTTCTCTTTATCTTTGTCTCTCTCCCCCCATCTCTCTCTCACTATCTATCTATCACTCTGATCATATCAATCTATTATGAGTCTCAGATTATCTGTCTGCCTTTCCATCTATCTATCTATCTATCTATCTATCTATCTATCTATCTATCTATCTATCTATCTATCTATCTAATTCTGTTTCTGTCAATCTCTCTATCTGTCTGTCTGTATGTCTCTCTCTCTCTTTCTTTCAGGTGGCATTTAAGCTAGCTCTTGTGGAGGGCTCTTGATTGGACCTTCATCACAATAGGTAGGTAATGGTACCAACATTCAAACTCTGGCTTTCATCTTCAAAGTCCATTCAAGAACCATCGAGAGAATAAGTTTAAAAAAAAGAGGGAACAGTAGAGAGGAAAACTGGATCAGGAGGTGACAACAGGAAGAGAGGTCATCATTTCAACTTAGAGCTAAAGAGATCAATTAGAAAAGATCCAACTCAATCCATAAGGTGTTTGGCATGTGAGAGAGGAGTTTCTGATATGACAATCAAAAAGACAGTGAAAAAAGACTTGAAAATGAAATTGTACATAAAACCTGTGAGGCACCTTGTCATTCCAGGTCAGAAAGTTAGAAGGTTAGAGAGGGCAAAGATCATCATGAATAAATTGGAAAATGGTCCTGGAATAATATATATATATATATTTGAACTTAATTTCAATCCTTTATGAGCTTCCAATCTTTAGCTATGATTATTTAATGATGAACATGTCATTTTCGTTTACAATCGATTTCATCATGAGTCTTCTTTTAAGCTTGGAGAGGAATTATAGATTCTTATTGCTCAAAGTAGATTCCAATAATTTTATAAAAACCTCGGAGAATTAAGATATCTTTAATCATTTCTACGATACAACAGTTCAGATTTTAATCTTGCAATCGGACAATTTTGCTGTTACACCTGGTATATACAAAGTGGGGGAGCAAAATTTACAATATTTTGAGAGAGGAATTGAAAAAAAATTTTGCTTCCTACCTGTAAATTTATATATATATATATATATATATATATATATATATATATATATATATATATATGTATGTGCGTGTGTCTGTTTATGGATGAGTGTGCATGCATATGTGTGTAAATTCATACACTAGTATACTTATACAGCTGCTTTATCATCTATGAATGATATGAATTATTCCCCCTTTACAACCTCTTTCCCACAGAAGAAATGTTGTGAGTCTTTTGTGTCTCTCTTACTATTCCCATGGCATGGGACAGGCTACATTGCTTAGTCCCATCACCCCTGACCTTTACATACACAAGGATGAATCATCCTCATTCCTTTGTATTCCATTAGTAAGGAGTAAGTTCCACTTGGGCAGCTTCTTCTCAAGAACTGCTGCTTTATAGAACAGACTCCCCACAGGATGCTTTCCCAATCATTACAATTTTGACCCCTTTCAAGTCTAGTCTTATCTTTCTTGCATAGCACCATGAACTTCACTTGTGTTTGCTTATGCTTGTACAACACCACACAGTAATTCTCTACCTTGAGTGACTCTTAGGTCTTTTATTTTGGGGGGAACATTAGTATATAAGAAATAGTTGAAGGCTCTAACCATATTACCAAATATAGTAAACAAATTATCTTGAGCTTGACTTACTTAATACAATCTTGACCCCTTTCAAGTCTAGTGTTAACCCTTACCTTTCCTGGTCTAATGGTTAGTGGTTAACTTTCCTGATCTAAACTGTTAAGCCTACATTAGTCTAGGGTTAACCGTCCTGATCTAATGGTTATCGGTTACCTTTCTTGATCTAATGGTTATCTTTCCTGTATAAACTCATGAACTATACTTCTTGCTTTTCCTATGTGCATACAACACCACAGGGTAACCATCTACCTTGAGTGGCCCTTGTGCCTTGTATTGGGTGAACATTTACTAAAAAAATTACTCACCTTGTCTAGTATGCCATAACAACTAAATATATTTTATCCTCATTGGATACCAATATTTGTAGTCTTGTACCAAATAAAATTAAGCTTAATTGATATTTTCGATGAATATTCATTGGGTGATGGTTAATGAGCAGGTTATTACAACTGTGTAGTGAGTTCAAACCTCACTGTTTAATCAAATCTTTTGGCATTGTGACATAAATAGCTAAAATATATATATATATGTAAGATTATATAAACATGTATCATGTTTTTATCTGTAATGGACACAATATTCAGAGGGAAATTGAGATTTTGTGCATTGAATGAAAAATATAGAAGGTAATCTGAGCAGCATCGCCCTCGGATGTATTTTTTATATTTAGGGTTAATGTGTCAGATAGGGTGAAGTGTTAAACATGGATGGCAGTTGTGAATTCTATTTTTGAAAATAAACTAAATTATGTTGGAAATATGTATTTAGAAACTGATTGAGATAGATAGATAGATAGATAGATAGAGAGAGAGAGAGAGAGAGAGAGAGAGAGAGAAAGAAAGTAAATGACAGAGAGATAAAGAAACAGAAATATAGATATAAACAGAATGAGATTGATAGATATATAGATAGTGAGAGAGAAAGGCAGGGAGATGAAGAGAGACAAACAATAGACAGATCAATAGATAGATAGATAGATAGATAGATAGATAGATAGATAGATAGATAGATAGATATGAGCAGAGTAAGATAAATAGATAAACAGATAGTTATGAGCAGATTAAGATAGATGAATAGAGAGAGAGAGAGAGAGAGAAAGAGAGAGAGAGTGAGTGAGAAATATGGGTAGAGACAGAGATAGATATGAATAAACTGAGATTGATAGATAAGAACAAATTACAATAGATTGATAGATATTGATAGATATTGAGAGAGAGAGAGAGAGAGAGAGAGAGAGAGAGAGAGAGAGGAATAGTCTATCTGTTTGGCAAAGTTCTCGAAAAATATAGATATGAACAGACTGAGAGAGTTTTACCGATTGATAGATAGATGGATAGATATACAGATAGAGAGAAAGACAGCGAGTTGAACTGTAACAGATAATATATAAAAAGAATGATATATATATATATATATATATATATATATATATATATATATAGTGATATGGAAAGGCAGAGAGATAAACAGAGACAGACAGATAAATAGATAGAGAGAGAAAGAGAGAGTGAGAGAAAGACAGAGAGATTAATAGAAACAGAGAGATATAAACAGAATGAGATTGATAGATATATAGATAGAGGGAAAGGCAGACAATCATAATAGATTGATATAAGCAGAGTGATAGATAAATAGACAGATAGTTATGAACAGATTGAGATAGATAGATAGATAGACAGACAGACATACACACATGACTATATACACACACCTATACATACAGCAGGCATACACACATACCTGATTACTGTTATAGAGGGATAGGAATATGTTGACATAGATAGATAGATAGATAGATAGATAGATAGATAGATAGATTTGTTTTTTTTTACAGCTTATCAACCCTTTCTGGATGGTTAAAATCTAAACATGTTTTGGATTGTAAGAATAATTCCTTTTTTTCAAATGAATATTGTATTAATTTTTTTTTTTTCAGAATGACATTGACTTTTGCAGTTACAGGCGCTACTATTTAACTCACAGAGTGGGGAAGGATTCATAGTACCTTTCCCAAGTGGAGATAGATTGATATGGGAAGAGTGAGATAGATAGATAGATAGATAGATAGATAGATAGATAGATAGATAGATTGAAAAATGTGAGGTAGATAGAAACAGTTATAGATAGATAAATAGAAACAAAATAAGCCAGATAGAAGGAAATAGAATAAGCCAGCCAGATAGATAGATAGATAGATAGATAGATAGATAGATAGATAGATAGATAAGAAAGAAATGTGACCATAGATGGATAATTTATGGTGTCTTTTGTCAATTAAGTATATGAATGTCCTGCTGGAACAAACAAAGACCGTGTAGCGCCAATGTGACATTTGCAATATAAAACTGTTTCTTATAGGATGGGCTAACCTAATTCTCTTTTTCTATGCCGATTGTAGTTTGGCCAAATGAATACAAAAAAAAAAATGGAAAGAAAGGAAAAAGAAATTGATATTGACTGCGGCACCACAACGTTGATTGTGTGTCGGCATAAAAGATTGTCCTGACTCTTATCTGGGGTGGAAGGAAGGAAGATGCCGGCAAGGCGGGGAGGCCATCGGCCTTGATCCTAATTAAACCGAAAGACAAGTTTGCATGTGGATTCATTAAACAAAAAATCGTTTGAATTGTTTAAATCGATCGCGAGGAATTTTAACGTATAAAGAACAAAAGAGTCTTGTATTGTTTCTTTTTTTTTTTTTTTTTTTAGTTTTTGATTTTTAAGAAGTCGGGGTAAATGCATATATTGTGTATTCTGAAAAAAAAGTCGTGAATAAAATGGCTTGGATTTAAAGTAATAAAACTGATTTGGAAGCGTATTTTCTTCTGATTGAAATAAAAATATTGCGTTAACAAAGACAAAATAAAGACAAAATAAATTTAAAGTAAATAAATAAGCATAGAAAAAATAAAAAACGAAAAATGATAAAATTCGGTCGACTGTGCACACACGCACAAAAGACGTAGTTATCTCCCTTACATCAACTTAGTACAATGCTCAACAGATTTTTTTAGTACCGATCTTTCTTTCTTTCTTTCTTTCTTTCTTTCTTTCTTTCTTTCTTTCTTTCTTTCTCGTTCTGTCTTTCTCGTTCTGTCTTTCTCTCTTTTCTTTTTTCTTCTCTTCCTTTTCTTTTCTTTTTCTCTTCTTTTCTTTCTTTCTTTCTTTCTCATTCTTTCTTTCTTTCTCTCTCTCTCGTTCTTTCTTTGTTTTTTCTTTGTTTGTTTGTTTGTTTGTTTCTTTCTTTCTTTCTTTCTTTCTTTCTCGTTCTTTCTTTCTCTCTTTTCTTTTTCTCTTTCCTTCTCTTTTTCTTTCTTTCTTTCTCTCTTTCTTTCTTTCTTTCTTTGTTTCTTTCTTTCTTTCTCGTTCTTTCTTTTCTTTCTTTTCTTTCTCTTTCTTTTTTTTTCTCTTTTTCTTTTTTTTCCTTTCTTTTCTTTCTTTCTTTCTCTCTTTCTTTCTTTCTTTCTTTCTTTCTTTCTTTCTTTCTTTCTTTCTTTCTTTCTTTTGTTCCAGCGTAGAAGGCACGGTTACTCACTCTTCTTTGTTTGTTTTATAATTTTTTATTTTATTTTCTACCGATGTTTTTTTATGACTCTTCCCACTCTAATAATACCTACAGAAAAAAAAAGCCATTTTCAACTGAATCCTAACGCTGCAGGCATTAATAATTCCGTTTAAAATATTTACCAAAAAAAAAAAAAAAAAAAATTCCAAAATTTCAATTCAAAATTCCTATCTTTAGAGCAAAACAACAACACCCATCATTCTTTATGTATCTTGTTAGAAAATGGCGAAATATTAAACGAAAAGGATAGCGTAGGATGGGAAACCGGAGAGACGAGTTCGAATTCCAGTCAGGTTATTTATTAGATCCGCGTTCGCGCAAATATCCTCGAGAAAGGTATGAATACATCTATTCTCCCCACCCATGGGTTAAATAGTAAGACTTGTATCTGGAAAAATAAAGTGTTGTTATTCTCAAAAAATTGCTAATGCAATATTCACTCACAAAAGAAAAGCAGTTAGTCTTGCTTTGGATTCACATAATTCACAACGAGTTTATAAGCTGAAAAAAAAAAAAAAAAAAAAACAAAAACAAAAAAAAACTAAACAAAAAGAAAACACTCCAAGACAATTTTTTCTTATACGCTCGCTGTTTTAAGAGGAGTAATCAGAATTTCTATTTGATCCATATTTCTATGTAAAGTCTTATTTATTTTCAACCGCCTTTGCATCTCTCCAGCTAGGTTATGGAAGTTTTCTGTTTCTCATTCTCTTGTAGATTATTATTACTATCATTTGTGTATGTTATGTTTCCTGCTTTGTAGCCGTTCAAAATATAATCCTTAGGCTCTATAGTAAAATTTTCATTTAATTGATAGCAATTTTCATAGTATATGGTATGCCCCTAGTAGGACGATTTTCTGGGTAACTTGTATGTTGATGTTACCTGGGATACTGTAAAATTGTCCATCCCTTTTCTCACGAGGCCCAGTGCTCCAATTACTATTGGTACAGTCTCAGTCTTCATTCCCCACATCCTGTTAATCTTGATCTCCAGGTCCTTGTATTTGGACAATTTCTTGATAATTTTCATGGAGCTGTTTCTCTCAGATGGTACTGTTATGTCAATAAGCATACACTTGCTGAATTTCTTGTATTTTGTGATAATATCAGGTCTATTGACTTTTATTTCCCTGTCAGTTTGAATTGGCATGTCCCAGAGGATAGTTACATCGTTTTTTGTGGGTAACTGTGTCTGGTTGGTGCTCATAACATTTCTCAGTGATTTCGGTTTTGTGTTTCTTGCATATCTTCCAGTGCACATATGTCGCTATCTTGTTTTGTCTGTGAGTATATTCATTATTTTGCCAGTTCCGGACATCCTGAGATAATATGGTCAAGAGTTTTGTCATATTTTCCTCAGATCCTGCATTTCTGGTTAGTTCCATCCTTGAATATGTGACAGTGTTGGGATCTGATTGCAAGGCTTTGTTCCTCAGCTGCAATAATTAGGCTTTCTATCTCAGCTTTCAACCTGGTGCTCCTCAGCCACTGATGTGTTTTCTGTTGGTCCATGGAATGCCTTGGTCTCATCATCATCATCATCATCATCATCATTATTATTGTTATTATTATTACTATTGTTGTTGTTATTGTTGTTATTATTATTATTATTATTATTAAAACCTCCCTCAGTTTTCGGCAACACTCTAAACACTATTTGCAGTCTTTTTTTTCTTTTCTTTTTCACTATATTTCAGTCACACGCTGTCATACGTCTTTCTTTGTTTACGATGACTAGATCTAGTCCCCTGGTCTAGACTGGGTGTTTTCCTTGAATTTCAAAATCACAAAGAATATTCATTTTTCTGTTCTCTTTCTCTCTTTTTTTATATTCTCTCTTTCTCTTTATATATATCACTGGTTTGCATGATCCAGAACCATCGCCAAAGTGTCTCCCCCCCTCCGACGATAACCATTTTAGGTGCATAATCACGGTTACAAGTAAAGCTATAAAAGCATATTTCCATAAGAACGGAATATATTGGGTGATTACTAAATCTTTACCATTTTTTCTTTCAATATTGTTGCTTTTCCTCGCAAAGCTCAGGTCGTTTAAACATTCTACGATCGTTAAGAACCAGGAGTGGGAATGGCCTCCGCCGAGATTTGCCTCGTATGTCATATCAATTGGATCGTATCTGTTACGAAGAGACGCCTGACCAGATCAGCGGAATTCAAATTTGCTCATATAACTGATGGAAAATTAATCTATATAGAAAAATAAAAATTAGAATATGATTTGGTTACTTACATTATTCGGACTGTTATCCTCATTGCCATATTCACAACGTTTCGGCTGTTGTACGCCCCGGCCTTCTTTAAGTGATTGGAATTTCGAAACGAACCCTTTCGTCCACCGAGGTAGATTGTTCTAATTCCACATGCCATGTCTCTTCTGGATATCTTAGTTATTTCCCTTTAACCCAACTATCTAAGTTTTTGATTCGGCTGTCGCCTGTAATTGAACTCACAACATTTTGGGTCTAGTCACTGGATCTAACCAACGCCTTTATCCACTGGGCCATGTGTCCTTAAGGACATATTTCCTATATATTTTAAGTAAAAGGTAAGTAATATTTGTTCAAAATCTAGTGATGATTAAATGAAGCAATTTTTCGTTAAAGCTTTTTGATGGTCAGCTTCCTCATTTTTTTTTTGTAGATTTTCTAATTAAACTTATCTGTGACGTTGCTTAAAATACAAACTAGACATCTGAAGGTTGACTTGGAGACAATCCCAGCCACCATATGAAGAACTACGTCTCCTCACACCTGTAGCCGGTATTGCAAGCATAAGAACGAGAATGTTGAACAGTTGACTATATAGGGTGTTTCATTAAGACGGATTCTATATAAAGAGTGTTTCATTAAGACGGATTATATATAAGGGTGTTTCATTAAGACGGTTCAAAGTCAGCAGTAAATAAATCAGTGTCATTGGTGAAAATTTATTTATTTCTCTATTGGATCATGCTATTTAAGTCATGGCAATTATGTGTAAAAAATAATATCGCCCAAATGTCTGCCAAATCTGAAAAAAAATCATTAGACGCTTAAACTTAAATCACATTTAAAATCAGTCCAAGTTATTGGAACATCCATTATAAACAAACGCTTGAAGCAGTCACGCCGCTGACGGGAAATGCAGGGTTCGTGTGTCGAAATAGTGACCCGCATACCGTAGATTGACCGAGTGTAACCAACAAAATATTGGTTTGGTTTGGTTGTTTCAGTTTAACTGCATATCAACACATCTGTGGGTTATTTAATGCTGAAATCTAAATATTTTGTACGCATTTTTATGGCTTCAGCTACATAAATTTTTAATGCAATTTTATGTTTTCAATTTTGTCTGTAATTTTATATTTTCCGTGAAAACGTATTTTATAGACATATATTTTATAGTTGATCTATTGTAGATGTTTTGGTATTAACATATTTCTTTATGGTAGAACATTATATTGACAGTTTCCGTATTTTCAAAGTGTTTTCTTTATAACTGTAATGACAAAAGTACATAGGTGTAAGCTTTAAGAAAGATTTATTTAACTGAGAATACAAGGTTCGCGTATAGTGTCCTTTTATAGTCCCAGTAAACAGAAATAGCCCTCTTAAAGAGGAGGGTAACAAAACAAGGGGAGACCACTCTTGATTATTCATAATAGTATTTATGTCTTA